TGGCAAAATCCTAGCCACTTCACTCCCCTTCCCTCCACCCCCACCGCCACCCAAGCCCCCAAACGTCGATCTCCGGCCTTCTGCGGCATGGCGGGTAGCGGATATGAGTCCTGCACCTCCAGATCTGTCAACCCCGAGGAGGAGATGACCACCCAGCTTGCGCTTCGCCGGTCCCGGGAGGAGGCTCGGACTCCTTGCGTCAAGAACCCATTGCGTCTTCCTAAATGGCACATGGACCTGCTGCGAGGTGTTTCGCCGCTGCCTCACTGGACGGCGATGCGGTCCGTCTGGCATTCGAACATTGTGGCGGGCGGACAACCCCTCTGTTGGCACACTGAGCACGAAGTGAAAGCATGGGCAGCGTCCGATGAGAACATGGCGCGGCGTGCCCGCCGTGAGAGACAACGGGAATAGTAGACTGCGGCAGCCCTCACAGTGGTGGAAATTGGAGAGGAGGAGTCGCACTCTCCAGCGCATCAACGGATGGCTTGCAACCCCGGGCGCCGCAACCGCATCATAGTGAATGTCACCGACTCCTCCTAGGACGGATCCACCATATATCACACGTCCACCGGCACCGTCAGGGTTCTGGGCTCAGATGAGGAAGAGTAGGGTATGTGTCTATACTATATTTCGAATGGAAAAGAAAAAAAAACCTAAAAAGCGGATAAATAAGTGTGCGGTAAATTAATCCATGTGGTATTTTAATAGAAATTCATGTAATACTCTCTGGGTCCAGCTTTAGAGATAAGGTCCTAATGGCCAAACCGATACAAGGTGATGATGAAATCCTCTTACAAAGTAGGTTAAAATGGAATTGACATCCAAGAAATAAGCAAAACAGGGCACAAACTCAAAATCGAGCATGAGTATACGAGTAGCCACACCCCACTGAGAAGAGTAAATAGTATAAAACTACCACAATTGGGGCTAGGATTCCAAAAACTACCGCTATTTGGAAAGTTCCTAAACACTACCACATTTGTGGTTTGCTATTTCAAAAAATACTAGTCGTTGAATCGTTAAGTTTTGAACAGTTTAATGACAGAGAGGGCCCACTTAATAAGCTTTGAATGTTAGCATCATAACCGTTTACCGTCAATGATAGGAAGTACCCACCTAGCCCGTTAATAAGAAAAGGCCAGTTCACGAGCACCATTTACTCTCTACAAGTCATACTTGCTCATATTGATACAAATATACGTACCTTGTGCTAGTTAGAAATGCTTAGTTGTTCCTACACTTTCATATCTAGTGATATACTTTGTGCTTGCTAGTTTCCTTTAGTTCTATCTGGTTTAGTATAGATTGCTAGTGCACTTAATTGAGACTAGCATATTTAGTATTTGTG